AGGGGAGGGAGAGGGAGGGAGAGATGAAGGGGGAGGGAGGGAGGGAGGAGGAGGGAGAGGGAGGGAGAGACAGAAAGGGAAAGAGAAAGAGAAGAAAACTACAGATCAATGTTCCTCATGAGCATAGATGCAAAAATCCTTGATAGAATACCTGGAAATCAAATTCAACAACACATTAGAAAATTGATATGCCAAATTGTTTTCATGCTGGGGATACAAGTAAAGGTCAACAAACAAAATATATCACATTAATAGAATCAAGGGTAAAAATCCATGGTCATCTCAATAGGTGCAGAAAAAGCCTTTGATAAAAGTCAACATCTCTTTATGATAAAAGGGAGACATTTTTTGGATATATTAGGCACACAGAGATCATGCCGCTACATAATAAAGACTGCATGACCAACCCACAGCCAACATCATACGGAAAGGGAAAAACGGAAAGCATATCTTTTAAGATCAGAAAAAAGACAAGGTTGTCACTCTCATCTCTGTCACTTGGTATAGTGCTAGAAGTGCCAGTCATAGCAATCAGGCACGAGAAAGAAAGAAAAGGCCTACACCTAGGACAGGAGAAGTCATATGACCCCTGACTGCTGATGATTTGACTCTGCACTTAGAACATCCCACCGGTGGCACCAAAAGACATGATGAGCAGTCAGTGAGGCAGCAGGGTAAAAAGCTAACATGGAGAGGTCAGTAGCTTCTCCGTAGATCAACAATGAACTCACTGAGAAGGAAAGAAATCAGGAAACAGTCCCAGTCCCAGTAGTTAGACACACACACACACACACACACACACACACACACACACACTAAACCTAAGTGAGGATGTGAAAGACTACAATGAAAATTATGAAACACTGGAGAAACACACAGAAGAGACCCTGGAAATATCCCCCACATTGACAGACTGGGGGATTAGCATTGTGACAATGTCCATGCTACCCAAGGCCATCTGTACACTCCGTGCAATCCCCTTCAAAACACCGATGCTGTTCTTCACAGAAGTAAAAAAAAAAAGATCACCCTGAAGTTCACCTGGCAACACGAAAGACCCTGATCAGCAAAAGCAGTGCTCAGAAAAAAGGAAGCAAAGCCATGCTTGGGGCAGCACAAAGAGATTGACAGCACACCTCGAGCCTGGTGGTCAGAGCATCCGGCACTGGCCTAGAAACAGACCCACAAACCAATAGCACAGAAGGGGAGACCCAGAGATAGACCCACTTGTAGCTAGAAGCCCAAGTTGGAGAAGACAGCCTCTTCAACCAACGGCCTCAGTGGCCCTTTCTGAAAATCCAACCCATGTCTGTCTGTTCCTTGATCTATTTGTATTGGTGCTGCTATATCTTGTTCTTGTTTTTCTAATCTTTTTCCTTTCCTAAAACCTAGTCTAGCCATAATAGTGGGTGCATTTTGATTGATGTTATTTGTTAATGTCAAACCTAATTGATCTAGGACATCTCGTCCCCATAAATTTATGGGAAGATGATCCAATATATATGGCTGTATAGTTCCTTCACATCCTTCAGGATCCTTCCAATCTAATACCATTGCACTTCTATGGGGATTAGTCGCCACTCCTAGGCCTCGAAGCGTTTGAGTGAAGAGAGATGATGCTAAGGTCTGCACCTGTATCCAGTAGCCCATTAAATTCATGTCCTTGAATATTTAGTTTTAGCATGGACCGAGAATCTAAATTTAAAGAAAGCATAGCCCAATCTACACCTGTGGAGCCTAATCCCTTGAAACTTCTTTCTACAGCATGACTGGAAAATTTATCATGCAGGCTTGGTATTATTAGTAACTGTGCTATTCTATCTCCTGGTGAAATTACTGATATACCCTTTGGAGAACTGG